CTCACGCTCAGGCATGCACATCTGTAGCGTGGGCAATTGTGGGAACAACATCCACGGGGTGGCCTAAAGATCGGGTGGCTCTGATACCATGTAAACAAAGGAAGTATGATGGTAAAACTGTGTGTGTTCTATTAACCAAAGGTAATCTGCCTTATATACACGTTAAGGAGATAACCACAAGTTGGTTATTCAACCTTATCAGTCTTAACTCAAATATCTCTATACATATTGAAGTCTATCACAATAAGGTATGATTTTACTATACCAACACAAACCGGTCGGTTCTAGAACCATCTAGAACCTCAATAGTACGAGGCCATGGGCATTGATGATTCTAATATTGCAGCTAATGTCAACGCCTTTACTGAAAATCTATGGCCTCAAGGCAATGAGAGTTTCAGGTCAGTAAACTCTTCTCAGTTCTTACCTTTAATTTCGTTTTAGTTTGATATGTTTTGATGAGACTTTATGTTGCTATTAGCACAAGTATCCATTCGATTACCGAGAAGTTATCGGAGCTAGACATAACTGTCAGAAGAATGATCATGGAAGCTTTGGACTCGTGAAATACATGGATGAACATCTTTACTCGGTGAATTACCTCCTGCGAGTGATGAAATACAAAGGACCTAAACGCTCATACCGATTCAACCACCCTCACTATACTTTACCAAAACCATGTTGACAGTCTAGAGGAAAAACAAAAGATAACGTATGGAGAAAAGTGAAGTCATCACAAGATTCTTTCATCGTTATGGTCGGAGATTCTCTCCATGTAAGCCTTGGTTTTTAAACTTCCTTTTAACAAAATCAATGCTTGAATTGGGAGCAATAATAACCACCCAATTGTTTTGATGTCACAGGCATTTCTGAATGGTAGATTAGACCCTCCTTATCACCGTGTCGTGATGACAGGAGTAGAGGTGAGGTACTCATTCGGATTGTTTATGCTTACAAAATTCGGACATATCGTGAGTGCGCCAAACGAGCTCGTGGACGAAGAGCATCCACGACTATTAGAGCCCTATGATTATGGCGATTTCCTTAAATTCTTCTACTCAAGTCTTGCAAAAGGATCTCAACCTGATGTCAAAACTTACTGTGGAATGTGCCCACAAAAAAAGCTTTCTCATTTGCTTGCTTCTCAATCATTTATGTGTGCCTTTTTTTACATCAATAATAAGAACTTCACCACAAAGATGGAAAATTTCAGATCAAATATACAAATGTTATAATATGTTGAAACCTATGCTTTATTTGCATAGTTATTGTATGTTGGATTTTAGATAAAAGCTCGAATTTTTATTTTGGCAAAAAATCAAATAAATACAAATAACTTTAGTTGAAATCGATACAAACGTTTCCTTTTACATGTCCTATGATAGGACTCCTATCTGTATATTTCCGATGCAGTTACCTGGCGCTTTCCTAATCTCTCTAACTAATACGATACTACTAATAATCAATTTAAATACAAACTGAATTCAGTAATAGTTTATAAAATAAAACAAACTGTCTTTTTTAGCACCAATGGATAATCCGAACATTGACCAACCTACTAATTCTGTCCAAGACAAGTGTAAGACCATATTTATCCTTGATTTTGGGTCAGTATCATAAGGTCAAAATGAATAAAAAAGTATTAAAAACGGGTGAACTGGGCTTGATCCGTCTCAATGGGCTGAGAAGTTTGTAACGTCTCATGCGGACATGTGTCGTCGCCCCATTGGACCGCCTCTGCTTCGGCTTCGCGAAGACGAGAAAGAAAAAAAAAATTTATTTCTTCTTCCGCTTCGTTTTCTCTCTCGAGAAATGGCGATTCCCGTCGTCGGAGAATCTCCTCGGCGATGGTGTTCTCTTCTCTCTTCCATCTCTTGTTCCTCTCTCTTCATCTATTCTCTTCTTTCTGTTACAGAAATCGGCGATTCAAATCCTGATGTTCTTCTCTTCTCTCTCATGTGTGGTCGCCGATTGGGTGATCTCTGTGGTTCCTACATGTCGTCGCCGTAGATCTGACAGATAGATCCATCGACATGTCTCCTGCATGTCGACTCCTGGATCTGAAACGAAAGAGAGATATGTTGAAGACGATGCGTGTAAGTCCTCTCTCTCTCTTCATGATAGGTTAGGGTTTTCGTTTATTGATGATGACAAATGGTTAATAGGATTAGAATGAACAAGGCATGTAGGGATTAGGGTTTCTGATGGTCTAAGATGTGTACATATTGGTCGATTCTGCATATGTGTTGACAATCGTGTGATTGTGTGGAGTGTTACTGCTGTGTTGTGATTTCGGGTTCCAGTCTTCTGGATTAGGGTTTCTGATGGAATAAGTGTAGTGTTTGGTTCTGGATTTTGATTTTGTGATGGTATAAGTGTAGTGTTTGGTTCTAGATTACGATTTTGTGATGGTATAAGTTTAGTGTTTGGTTCTGATTACGATTTTGTGGCTTGTTACTGATGTGTGTTGTGATTTCTGGTTCCAGTCTTCTGGATTAGGGTTTGTGATGGTATAAGTGTAGTGTTTGGTTCTGGATTACGATTTTGTGGCTTGTTACTCATGTGAGTTGTGAAATCTGGTTCTGGATTAGGATATTTTGGCATTACTGATGTCTGTTGTGATTTGGGGTTACAGTGGCTTCTCAATTGATAGTATCTAATGTTTTTTGTTTGGTTGAGTATATAAAGATCATGTTTGTATGCTCTGCATTTATTGATTGGTTGTGTGTTTGATTTCTGTATATTTGTATAAGTGATCTTCTCTTTTCTTATGCATTTACTGCTTTCTGTTGTGTTGCTTGTTTGGAGGAAAACATTGGAATGCTTTATAAAAGATTAGGGAAGAGCAGATGATGCTTCCTATTCACCAGATGAATGAAGGTAATCAACTGTCTATGTATTAATGTGTATCATTGATGGTTATTTAGTTATTAGGTCTGATAAATGCTTAGTAATTGAATGTGGTAGATGGTTGTTAGTTGGATTGAGTTAAAGACAGAAGTTGTTTGTAAAGAACATCCGTATTGTTAGCTTAATTCTTCCTGCTCAGTTTTGTTAGCTCATCTGACGTAAGTACAAACTTAAATGAATTGATTGTGATTGATAGAGATTAGGTTGCTCCTTTATGGTGATCTCTGATTTCTGTCTTAAAGTTTTACTCAACTACTTTGAAGTAAAAGAAAAGTAAACTAGTGAGTTAAACATCAGTTAAGTAAAACTGATAAAACTTTAAAAAACTTAACTAAATACCTTAAAAAACTTAACTAAAACTTATACAACTTAGTGGCGATGGAGACAGATTAGATTGAACGTTAAGTGGCTTCATTATTAGTCCATAGCTTTGTTTATAAACACTTCCAAACCAAACACATAATTCATACACATTTCCTCTGAAAACATTTCCTTTGTAGCTAAGTAAATGGATCCTTCCATTCCATTTAGCTCATCCACCTCCTTTCTTGATCTCTTGAACAACCAACAAGAGATCAATTTCTCCAAAACCCTAACACAGTCTAAAC